TGCATTGTTTTTTGTTGCATTGAGATTTAATTTCTTTTGATAGTATTTTTGAATACTATGCGTCTCTATACATAATTTAAATCACTTTTCCTTTTAAGTTTGTGTACTTACATACATTAAAATACGATTTTTCAAGTGTACGAATATTTATTTCCCCCCACTGTATAGTTCAAATAATTACTATATTATGTTAATTTATGTACAGAAAAGTTTTCCATGAACTGGAACTTTATTCAAGAACCATCTTTGTTCATTCTCTTTTCCTAAATGCAGAAATTGCTTGTTCGGAGCCCTGGCTGACCAAGTGGACGGCAGTCGTGCAACTCACTTCAAACACCGCAAAGAAATTGTTGCTTACATGCAAAATAACAGGATGCATTTTGAGCCTTTTGTAGAGGATGATGTGAGCTTTCATGATCATTGTGAGTCTTAGGTTGAAAATGAATGACCTTTCATGAGTTTATTGAGTGTTCTTATCAATGTAAGAAAAAAAAATTGCTGCAAATAATACTGTTTTCTGTATTTTCATCAATTGAATATCCTAAGTTTGTTGCTAAATGTCATTGATGGAATCCATTCTAATAGATAATAATTTCACAAAACTATCCATAGTGCGGAGGCTGTCAGAAGCTGGCACATTTGGTGGGAATGAGTGCATTGTGGCTTTTGCGCGGCTGCACAACGTTATGGTTGTCATCCATCAGCTAAACACGGCTCTATGGACGGTAAGTACACTAGCAGCTTTATGATCTAACAAATTTCGCTGTCATGCAGTTCAGTTATTATTTTTCATTCAATTATTCACATTTGTTTCTTACTTCTGTTTTTTCAATAGGTATTTATTGTATTATTAACTTATACCTACCGTATATTAGTACAGATTTTATTCAAACTCACAGTTCGATTTTGGTCATCAACTGGAGTCTTGATTACTTGGTGAACAAACACCTACTCTTCTGTAAAGCAACACATATTGTAATTGAATGAACGAACTGCCCTTCTAACTACACCTCTTCCCTTGCAGATATGTGGGAGTGAGGACAGTGAATCTGATCCCAACCTTTATGAAGTGCATATTTCTTATCACAATGGGGACCACTACAACAGCGTCCGCAGAATGGGCGACTGTAGCAACAGTCCTGCGAACATCCGAACTGCGGTCAGCAAACAGGCATAGCCACTAATGTTCTTATACTTTAGTTAAACTTGTGATATTGCTACTTTTGTATAAATATTGACTACACTGCTGCTTTGTAGTTTCGTTGGAGTCAGAAATATTGTTTATTATACAGCTCATGAAGAATTTTCATTGCATTTATAATTTGTGCGGTTGAAGTTGACATCAAGTCGAATTTAACACATTAGAAATGATTTACATCTGTGGTCTGTAAAGCATAAAATATTCTCATTGTTAGATTCTTACCTTGGAAAACAAGATAACTGGGCTGCCTTTCAACTCGCGAAGCACTACTTGCTTCGTTTCTTCTATGGGTATCCTAATTTTGATTCTATGTATAAAAAATAATATGAAGATATATCTTCTTACGCTAGATGAGCACTTCTAGATGAAACTGAAAAATGAAAACACCTCAGGCTCTCAAAATCTTGGAATATTAATCTTAGAATATTCAAAAGAGAATACCTTACCTTCATCCAAACGAATGATCGGGACTTTTAAATGAGGAATAAATAATGCTTGAGTTTTATTTTACTAGAGTTTATTGTTCACAGTTGCTGGTGATGAATGGCGGCAACAAGCAGCTGGAGCAGGACAGAGCTGAGCGCAGGGAGCTCGAGATACGTCTCATGCACTGCACCAGTGAGACTTGCATACTTGATGGCGTACTCTTTAATGATACTTGGCGTTCTCTTTAATGATACTTGATAGCGTTCTCTTTAATGACACTTGATTGCGTTTTCTTTAATGAAGATGGCGTTCTCTTTAATGACACTTGATGGCGTTCTCTTTAATGATACTTGATGGCGTTCTCTTTAATGATACTTGATAGCGTTCTCTTTAATGACACTTGATGGCGTTCTCTTTAATGACACTTAATTGCCTTCTATTTAATGATACTTAATGGCCGCTAAATGGCGTTCTCTTTAATGACACTTAATGGCGTTCTCATTAATGATACTTGGCGATCTCTTTAATGACACTTGATGGCGTTCTTTTTAATGATACTTGATGGCGTTCTCTTTAATGATACTTGATGGCGTTCTCTTTAATGATACTTGATGGGGTTCTCATTAATTATACTTTATGGCGTTCTCTTTAATGACACTTAATTGCCTTTTATTTAATGATACTTAATGGCCGCTAAATGGCGTTCTCTTTAATGACACTTAATGGCGTTCTCTTTAATGACACTTAATGGCGTTCTCTTTAATGACACTTAATGGCGTTCTCATTAATGACACGTAATGGCGTTCTCTTTAATGACACTAATGGCGTTCTCTTTAGTGACACTTAATGGCGTTATCTTTAATGGCACTTGATTGCTTTCTTTTAATGATACTTAATGACGTTCCTTCTAATGAATCTATTGTTTTTTTTCTCGAATTACACTTATTGTCATTTTCTTCCTTTTTATCTTTCTTGATTGCTTTCTATAACTTATAGGAATCACAATGAAAATTGAAAACTACTATACTATCCATTATCTAGGATTAAAATATTGGCTTTGGTTCAGGCATTGGCTTCATTGGGAGTTTTTGTCTGTTTTTTTTTTTTTTTTGTAGGTTGAAATAGTTGGTTTCACTCCTACACTTCTGGAGTAGTATGTTAACATTGAATCTAATTTCAGGCAAGCCTTTCAAAATTCTATATAAATCTCAAAAGCAGTTGAGTGAAGACCAGCTTCAAGTTTTTATTTTTTAATTGGCAACTATTGTTATCTATTGCAGCTATTTTGTTCAAAAGTTTGTGTTCGATGGTCGAAACGTGATCAATTTATGTTCGGGATAACTTCACATTCATAGTCTCTTAAGAATTTTCTGCATTCCGGATATTTTTAGATTAATAGTAATACAAAAAAATCATTTTTGGCGCATTTTCTCATTTATGGAAAAAATGCACTATTGTGCTCGCCATGTCCGTCTGTCCGTCCGTCCGTGATCTCAAGTTTTCGTCGACGAGAAAATTCGCTCTCTGTCACTCACTGCAGTGAGTACTGAGTTATATTTTTTGCAGATTGCAAGGACGAGGAGCTCGTGAGACACTTCTTGGAGGAGCACAATTACAATTTTGACGAAGCTATCGAAGCGCTGCTTGTGCATATACATGAGAAGCCTCGAGGTGGGTGATGGCTTGCATGAAATTAATAGAATTATGTTCATGTGAGCGCCGCCGTGGTCATGAGAATTATGTTCATGTGGGCGCCGCCGTGATCATGAGAATTATGTTCATGTTGGCGCTGCCGTGGTCATGATGGAGAATTATGTTCATGTGAGCGCCGCCGTGGGCATGATAGAGAATTATGTTCATGTGAGCGCCGCCGTGGTCATGATAGAGAATTATGTTCATGTGGGCGCCGCCGTGGGCATGAAAGAGAATTATGTTCATGTGAGCGCCGCCGTGGGCATGATAGAGAATTATGTTCATGTGGGCGCCGCCGTGATCATGATAGAGAATTATGTTCATGTGAGCGCCGCCGTGATCATGATAGAGAATTATGAAGAGAATTATGTTCATGTGGGCGCCGCCGTGGTCATGATAGAGAATTATGTTCATGTGGGCGCCGCCGTGATCATGATGGAGAATTATGTTCATGTGGGCACCGCCGTGGTCATGATGTAGAATTATGTTCATGTAAGCATCGCTGTGGTCATGGGAGAATTATGTTCATGTGGGCGCCGCCGTGAACATGAAAGTACGAGAGTCGCTGAGAAAAAAAAAATTAATATTCTACCATTACTATCTTCAAGTTTCTCCCGTTCGTAAATTTTACTCCTTTAGAATTCAGATCGAGTTTGGTGACCTTATTCACTATTCAGCCTTCTGGTTGAGCAAAAAAATGATCCATTATGATTGATTTTCTCTGCTATCTCCAATCAATTCCGATTACCAAATGTAAGTTAATTTAGAAAAATGAACTTTAGACAAAATTCAACACTAAAGTGATTTATTTATTTTATTTAAAGCAATATCGAGGATACAATAGCAAATGATTCAGCAGCATGAACATATATATTCACGTAAAATTCAACATTCAAGTGATGATTTCTTTCATATAGCAATATCGGGAACACCCTCAAATTATTCAGCAACTTAGACTATCCATGCAAAATTTAACGTAAAAAATTTTGCAGAGCTTCAGGGGGGGGGGGAGATGGGCCGGAGGAGGGGGGAGTCTATCAATGCAAATCTATCAATGTATCAATGCAAAATCGCGGGTATCAGTGCAAAATGTCTATCAATGCAATGTCTATCCATGCAAAATTTAACGTTAGAAATTTTGCAGAGCTTCACGGGGGTGAGATGGGCCGCAGGAGGGGGGAGGTGACGGCGCTGTGGCGCGAGGACGGCAGCGGCAGCAGAGTCCTGGGGCAGGAGGCGGCCGCCCTCGCTCTCGCCGAGTCCACAAGTCTGTTCAAATGCAAGATTTTTCTTATTGATAACTTTCCCTCTGTTACTAACCTCTGAAAGCTACTAGTAATTGTTCCAAATTTTTACGGTATGTGGCACTTCAGCTACGTTCAGTAACTTTAAGGTATCATTTCGTACTACCAATATTTATCAAATCATGAATTACCCTGCATCTTCTATCCATTCTTGTGATTCCTATTGCCCTTACTGTCTCACTGTGAAGAAAAATAATAAGGTATAGATACGTAAGAGAAACATTAACACTATTACTTTCAAAGCCTCCTTCAAGGAACGATGCAACTCATGAATGCGACTGATATGTTTTTCGAAGTGTTTCAGTGACTGGGGTAATCCTCTCAATTGTCGATAAAATAGCATCCTTTTACACACAATTTTGAATATCATCCTCTGGCGTTATATCTGTGTATTCATGAGGCCTTTAGAGTAAATTGTTCATTGTTGGGATGAGTCCATAAGTCCTTTTTGTTTGCTTTCCTTGTACGCTAAACGCAGATCACGTTGTGCAGGCACAATGGAAGCCCCTAAAGATGGCTGGAGAGGCAGTGGCTCTACTGCTGAAAAACTCCAAGCCAAACTGAAACAACCTGTGAGTGGATAATTACCTTTTCTAGCGTTCATTTCGATTTATTGTGATCCACAATACATTAGGCTAAGTATATTTTCTTTTAAGCGTTTATTACTTTTCAAAAAATAATATTATTATAGCAATAATTATCTGTTAAATTTGTGGCTGCAACTTTTCGTTATGGGTACACCGTTTTGTTCAACTTCATATTGGCAAGAAAGTATTGAATAGGGTACTTATGTTTTTTAACCTCAACTGGTGATTATTGCAGCACATATCCAACACCAAGCGTCAGGAGCTCAAGAAGCAACTGAAGAAGCAACAGCAGCGCGACCGCAAACGTCATTCTGAGGCCGAGGACGCGTCGCTCGACTCCGATTACGGAATGTCTGACGACTGCCACACCATCGTCGTACCTGACATTGCTTGCCTTCGCATATGAACCGTGGGATACAAGCTAAACCTAATAACGCTTACTTGCAGCCACTCATATCAACCTCGAGCTGACATTATGAACCCTCTAAACCCAGCATTGCTTGTTTGCAGCCACTCCCATCAACCTCCAGCTGGCACATACCCATCATCATCTGCTAAAAGAAACTCAGTAACGCCTCACTCTTGATCGCTCGGATGAAACTCTTCCTTGAAGTAGAACTTGTGATCGCTTGGATGAACTTGATCGCTTGGATGAACCTCTTTCTTGGGTTCGAATGAACTTCGTCTGTGAGCCTGAAGCTTCTACTTCGCGCGCAATTTCAACACTTGAGCTCACTAACCTCCCGCTCCTTACCTACCAAATTTACTCCTGAAAACTTCCTACTCAAGACTGCACTTGTAAATCAATTGGAATCGAGGCTATCGTCAACACGTTGAAATTGTATTATGGAAACTTTTGCTCAAGACTTTAGCTGAAATTTGATTCAAAAGCAACTCATGGTCCATTTTTTGTTGTTCTGCGTTTACTTTTTCGTTCTTCAAGGATGCTGGCAAGTTTGCGCGACTCACTCGTGTTACCTTTTCATTAGACGACGGATTTTTTTCTCACGTTCTGTGTTTTAATATGGAAGTTCAGTGCAATGTTTAGCTTTGAATTCGTCGTCTGGCGTGATATTTCAACTTGATACTATTGATGAATGCGACCTCTTGCGCAATATTTCAATAAGATACTTGAGCTTCAGTTCTAAATTTGACAGAATATTTTAACACAACATCAAATCAACGATATCTGACACTATTTTCAGATTATATATTTGTGTTAGCGGATAACGACCGCCGCAATATTTCAACGAGCTCTTAATGCTCGTATTTGTCATCTTAGGCGCAGTATTGAAGTACAATATCTGCGCTTGAATGTAATGTCTGGAACGATATTCGTGTTGTAAAATGTGTGCACTTGAATGAGACGTCTAACACATTATTCAAGTGCAATATGTTCGCTTGAATTAAACGCCTGGTGCAGTAGCCCAAACAATGTTTTCGCTTGGACTTGACCATTCTGGTCATATTTCAGCGTGGTATTACATTTATTTGACGTTGCAGTTATTTTATTTTGGCGCTGAATTAGAATGTTGTTACGTATTTAGCAGATTAAGCAACACAAATAGTTCATTTTGATGTTTATTGAAAAATTTCTAACCTGTTGATGCTTTTGAGCTCCATTTTTTTTCATGGCTGGTCGAACCGGTTGCTCTCTTGACTAGTTAGGCTGTCAGGATATCGTGCTAATTATCATTCGGCTATTTCTATTTCATATCCTGCCTATAATTAACTATTATTGTTCAAATCAGGTAACGGGTTGCTGCTAACCTAGTGGGTTAAGATTCCGTTAAAGCTTTCACTAAGCCGTCTTGTCGCAGGTAACTACAAATTGGTCACTGTCCTGGATTTGGCTTTCTTAATGATACTAAAACTTTCCACGGAGAGAAATATGTGAGAAAAGCGATGCACTTTTGTGGGTTATCCTGACTGTTTGGTCCGGCATGAGAGTTAATTATTGCTACGTCCGCTCTCTGCCAGTTCTGTAGGCAAGAAAGTGTCACGTTATGGACAACGACCCAACAAGGGATTTAAGCGTCTTTCGTTCTCAACGACTTGCATCTCGGAATTTTTCAACTAAGTTTTGCGTGACCGTGCACAAAATTACTAGAATTTTTTTTTTTTTGTATTGTAATACCTCTGAATGTTTATTAACTTGTAAGAGAGAAATTAATCTTTCCTGTGCTTGTTAATTAGGCTCTAGTGGTACCTACACTTTTTCGTGCTCTTGAATCTGTAAGGGATTATCAGTGCTATTTAATTGTCCGAAAAAAAGCCAGCGACACGAACATAGCAATCGAATTTTTTTAAAGTCAGTTCAGTCAAATACGACCATCGTTATGCGTGTATAGTACAGTTAATACCAGAGAATGTATTCTAACTGCGGACTTCGAGCCGAGACTTTATTTCTTTATCCTAGAATTATTGATTTAAATTATTTATTGATATTGATTATTATTGATATTGATTGTTGTTTGCGAAGATGTACTTCAGCTTAGCGATATACAATGACATTAATGAAGTGATACTTTAATTTCTTCATCATTGCACCCATTATTTTTTTCGTGTTTCTTATTTCGTCCAATTCGCTTCCTTCCTATTTATTTATTTCTATTCCTACTTGAGTTTTCCATGACTCCAGAGGTGACGTGTCAAGTTTGACCAGACGTGCCAGCGATTGCCACGTCATGACCATGGGACGAACTATTCACTCCATGTAGAAACTTATATTCATTATTTTGTTCAAAGATGGTGAGTTCTTTTTTAGCGTACTTTCTCCGTAAATGTATCGAATTCCATAAATCATGTAGTAAGTTAAACAGAAGCTAAATCTCTTAGAATCAGGAACTGAAACAAATGTTTATAGTGGTTTATAGATTAGCAAAATATTTGGCGCTTTAAGTGAAATATTTTATGTTAACATCGCCAACTGAACTAAATGCTTTAATGTTGCATGGGTAGTACGATGTAATGTATAGATACCAGAGCATGATGCGCCGGACACTTTACATATTAAGCAAGTATGTTGGCAAGTAAACATTAATGTTCTGCAACATGCATACCAACAGCGGCAACGATCACCATTGAAAGTAAGATCATGTGAAATGTTCAAAGATTTGGCGCCAAGGAACTTGGACCACGCACTACCTCTCATGTATGATAACAAATGTTATTATAAGCTATCGTAGCTATATGAAGAGAAGCTATATATAGAATTATATGTGAGCCGTTAAGCTTAGATAATAATTTACGCTAATTCTAGGAGAATTGATTCGTTAATAGTTCTACAGTAATAAAGTCAAGACGTCTCGTGTGTTCGACATCTTCTACGAGGGTCTCCGTCCCCGCTGCTCTTCAATTCTATTCTCCGTCCCTGCTACTGTTCACTTGTCCCTTCTTCATCTCTGCTCCTCTGAACCTGTCCCTTCTTCATCTCTGCTCCTCTGAACCTGTCTCTTCTTCATCCCTGCTGCTCTGAACCTGTCCCTTCTTCATCCCTGCTTCTCTGAACATGTCCCCTCTTCATTGCAGCTGCTCTAACGCCTTTCCCTTCTTCTATCCCGTAGCTTTTCATCTGTCCCTTCTTGGAAATTGCGGCTGTACCTTCTTCGTTCATGTTCACATATTTTTACGTTTCTGCTGCTGCTCACCGGTTTTTTTTCGTCTATTGCTGATCTAATGCAATGCAGTTGTCCCTATGAGGCGATAACGCCGCTTCTTTATTGCCAGTTTCAGCGCCGTGAATGTGCTAGAATTTTCAGCATTCGTTGGTGCGGAATTTTTCGGATTCAGGATAATTTTGGAGTGAACGGCGGTGCGTCTTTTTCTCGACTGAACGGCTATGTGCCTCTTTGCTTGACACATTTGGTGCGTCATCGACCGAAGTAGTGCAACACCCGTGGAATTAATCTCCTTAGCCATTGGACTCGTTCATCACACTCCGTCGCCATTGACACATTGACGCGTCATCATTTACGATAGTGAGGATGCTAACAAAATGTCATGTTCTTGATTAATAAGTTTTGTTTGTGTTGTTCAATATATAGATACGTTGTGCTCCTTCGAGCTTAGGTCAGCTGCATGATGGTGAATTTATTTTGAATGATACACCTCGAATTTAAAAAGTTGCTCAAGTATTGATTTGCACTTCGCCGCACAGTCTCTGCTTTTTCGTGTTATGAATAATGTTTATGATTTCAATTTTCTTTAACGCCGCTATTTGTTGGTGAGGCACATGGTGCAGTGTCTATGCTTACGTTTTCCCTCTTGTGGAACACTGAGGGCTGGCGCGCAAGAAATTTTCGTAAGTACGACGGCTTTGAATTTAATTCATTCAGAATGTAAACGATTGCAAAGCAACGATAAATAAACCGAAATGGTCGACAGAAAAAATGTATTACGAGAACTAATTGAGTTATAAAGGTGAAACACAAATACTTGTTCAATATGGGCCAATATATTTCTGCTTAATCCGCTAACTTTCGAGGATTTTCTGTGTAATTAAAGGATCGGACAAACCGTGTACAGCAATGACGATTATCGAGCTCCTATTTTCAGGTAGAAATACAATTATAAATGATCACGATATGATGTATTAGAAGGTTGTCGAATTGACATACCATCTAAGTGAATGTTATGCAAGTTCATTGTTTACTGTAGGGCCTCAAATGTGGATTATCTGAACGATTTCAACGAAAAACAAAACCAAATCTTGACACGAACAGTGAAGGTAATTTCAGCGTGTTTCAGTGCATTTCGGATCTTTCGCCTCTAACAACATTGAACTTATAGCTAAATTGCATTTGATTTTCTTACAAATACATATATCGCATTGAAATGTAAAGTTTTATTTAATTACCAAATTTTCGTCGCCAAGTCGTAACTTTCAAGGCTGATTAGATATGACAATTTTTTAATACAAATCAAGTGTTCATATTTTTTCCTACTGTTATTGTTAATTAAAAACGCAGTTCGCAATCGATCTTCGCGCTTTAAAAGGCTTCAATTCCCTGATCGCTTTCATGTCAACATAGCAATAGATAGGGAATAATCAGAACAAAAGTCTAGCTTCCTGCTGTGTATTCAATAATTTTCTAGCAGCTGCATGGTCGCACAGAAGCGATGCTTCTCAAAACGAGTTACAACAAAGCTTATGGCAAAAGATAAGCATTTCTTAATCACCGGGAAACTAGGCTTAGCACAATCATGCTCTATATGGCGAGAAGAGAGCAGTACATCCCTGGTGTACGATGCGCGCGGATCACGGGTATTATAACATTACATGTATGCTAAAAAAACGAGGATGAGCCATTGCGTGAACTCAAAAGATCAAAAAAATTCCCAAACCAATTACACTTTCTTTTGAATAATTTTCTTATCATTAAATAAACAAGATCTTTAGAATGTTCATCGAATCAGGCCAAAACTGAGCAATTCAACAGCTGTAGACCTCGCTTTCATTTCAGCAGTTATTGTTACATAGACTCGATAGCAACAATGGAATGTAATAAATTAAAGATGACGTATTAATTACATAACGTATTTAGGCTATACATGGTAGATCAAAAGCAAAATAACCCTACAGTCACCTATTTTACAATTAATTTCATAACAGAAGTACTAAGTAGTAATAACGATGGCTTACGTCGCAAGGAAAACAAATAAAAAAAATCTTTAGAAATGCAGTCGCATTACTCGTTATGCTTGTTAGCCGTATGTATATGCAGATAATGTGGCACATAGTTCAGTAACACATCCTTAATTACACGAAAACGACTTATAATACAATAACCTCTATTTGTGGCACTACACGATACCCGATCTTTTATAAATTATATTCAGTTTTAGAAATGCTAAAAATGATTTAAATATGTAAATAGATTGCGCGGTCCTGCACAATATGCAGAGCTTTCCGTGACAAATATTGACTCGAAATATCTAGCGAATAAGAACAGCTCGGTTGCTTAGAAGATTCAGCATTTAAATAACATTGTAATTATAAAAACGTATAATCGTCAACTGAAATCTGGTGCGACAAAGCAAAAAATTGAGCTGTCTTCTCCGCATAACCTAATGTGGAAATAATCTTAAAACATTTATATATCTAAACTATGATCTGGTAATACCGGAATATGAACATATAAACGAACTCGTGTAGTTTGACTTAAACAGCTGCACACCAAACATGGTCTGAAATACCCAGTCATCATTTCAGAAGTGTATAAAATTAACATTAACAAACACTTAAACTTCACCAGAACGAGAATTGTGCGTGGAAATCACGGCGTAGTTCAATGATATGTAATGTCAACACCAGACCTAACTAGCTCCCTGAGGTGCCTTGAAATTAAACCGATAAAAACTACCAAGTATCGAATTGTGAAAAAATCAATGAGCTACATTCAATCCTAAGGAATCCCGAAGCATTCAGCCATTCACTGCATGCACTGTGACTACGTTGCGGCATGCAAGATTTTAATTGCAGTAAGTGCATTATTATAGTTAATAATGAAGGTTTTAGCGAATGCACTGAGCCTGAGTGGCGGCATAGAAGGAATATATTCTACAGCGCCGGCAGGTTCTAATGCCACAGCGATACGTGATGGCCTTGCCGGAGTCGTCGCGGTCTTTGCAGAACTTCAGGCCACACGGATACCACCACAGGCACACCTGCACACAATGTAACAAGGTGCGTGATTTGGTTTTAAAGTACGTGAGAAGAGCTGATGCAGCTCATGGGAGAAAGTAATGAGGCACGCGAGAGGAGGTACTGGAGAACACGGCCTGGCACTTAATAGGAAGTAATAAGGCAAGTAAGAGGAGGAAATGAGGCACATAAGAGGAGGAAATGAGGCTATAAGAGGAGGAAATGAGGCACATGAGAGGAGGTAATGAGGAACATGAGAGGAGGTAATAAGGCACATGAGAGGAGGCAATGAGGCACATGAGAGGAGGTAATGAGGCACATGAGAGGGGGTAATAAGGCACATGAGAGGAGGTAATGAGGTACATGAGAGGAGGAAATGAGGCACATGAGAGGGGGTAATAAGGCACATGAGAGGAGGTAATGAGGTACATGAGAGGAGGAAATGAGGCACATGAGAGGGGGTAATGAGGCACATGAGAGGGGGTAATGAGGCAAATGAGAGGATGTAATGAGGTGCATGAGAGGGGGTAATGAGGCACATGAGAGGAGGTAATGAGGCATGTGAGAGGAGAAAATGAGGCACACAACTGGGCAAGTATGAGGATGTAATAGGGTAGGTGAGAGAAGGTAATGGAGAACACGGCGGTCACGGCCTGACACGTAATAGGAGGTAATGAGGCAAGTGAGAAGGGATAATGGGGAAGATGAGTGGGGGTAATGGGGCACTACATTATACCATAAAAATCACTAAATAAACTCAATAAACATGAGACTATCATGAAGTGTTCTCAAAGGCGAGCTTAGAAATATCCGATCTGACAGAAAAGAGTTTAACCAGTAAGCAAAAAAAAATCACCTGTTGTTGGCATATACAAGGTTGAGCAGCAGCAGTCAGCTGGTTACAGCTGAGAACACCTCGGCTTGGCAGCTGATGACTTCCATCACTGAGAGATGCCCAGTCACTATCCACATCTGAAAAATTATTGTCGCATTATATTTCATCATAAATACTGTAGAAGGTATTAACTGACAATAATTGACTGCTTAAACAGGTGACTAATAATCAATCAATCCAATGAGTTTTTATAGCTAAATTACTTACCGTTTGTTATCTCATCAAAATAACTCAAGGTTAATAAGGTCTTGATCTAGTTTCATAAATTAGTCAAGCTGAAGTTCTACAAATATAAATAAGTTTTACCATGGCGTGAATTAAGCCAGCTTTTCAAGTCCCTGCTGCTGGCAAAGGTGGTGGTAGGAGATGAGCTACAAAGAGAGGAGACATGAGGTGACAGCACCGCTCCAACTGTGTCCACATCAATGCTTAAATCAACATCCAGCTCATCTGTCTCCAAGTTCTCCTCAGGAGTACGGACAGTCCATGGATTTTTCTGCCTCAATTTGCTCATAGCATCTGAAGAGATGAAGTCATCTCTGCTGAACTTGGAGATGAAACACATTTGCTGGAAGGGCTTTTGACCTAGCTCCTCTTCACCTAACCTCACAACATGAACCACTTGAAGTTCCTGGAAATGCAAAATTGCTTGAAATTCCATACAGAGGGCAGCAGCAAAGTAATCCATTTATTGATGCATCAAACTGACAACCTTGAACTTCTGAGTATTTCAATCAAAAATAAAAATTCCTGTTTCAAGCAAGCTAATATATATTCATTTTTTAGTCATACACTGAATCTCATTAGAGACAGCAATAATAACATATTTAGATTGTAGTATTAAATTATAATATTTACAACAACTTTTAGACTCTTGAAATCTAAATATACTTTATATTTAGATTACCTGTTTGAAGTCAAGAATATGAGTGACATGTGTTGAGTATGCTTGTGTGTATTCCAAGGAGATCCAGTCATCACTGCTGTTTGAGGAGATCTTCTCCTTAAAAATCTCTCCTGTCTGAAAAAAATATATTGTTATTTCTATTTTTATTTTTGTTATTTTTATTGTTATTTGTCCCTGGAGAATTTGAATCTTTATTTAAAGGACAACTGAGGCAATCATTGCATAAAGTTTTGCACAGCTCAATGGCTAATCTTTGCAGCTCCAGTAACAGGTTTAATCCAAATTAACATAGGAGATAATACAGAATTCAGAAATTTAGAGGCTTCAAAAATCAAAAATAGCCAGAGGATTGCTTGGCAAGTATTTATATACATATAACATATTTGTGGTTTGGCTTTGGCAAGTGATTATTTTCAAATTTGGCAACAAAGCTAGTCTGGAAAAGTCCTATTTTTGTCTGAAATATCGCGGCTCTAATATCATATAATTTCAGTAGGTATGAAATCTTGCGGCTCGAATGTCAACAAATGTATGACGTCACCATTTCAACCATCAATGAATGCATGGAACTAAAACAAAGCTTAATATAAAGGAAAACTACAGAAGTGACGGAATTACCTACAATGTTGGAATATACCGCGTTTACCCTACTAGCACCAAAGTATTCCTCTCTTGAGATATTCCTCTCAGTCTCACTCTCAGATTTGGCACCATCCGCACCAACCACCAACTTCACCAAGTATTCCTCATCTCTTGAGGATGAGGTAGGCCTATTCCAAATCTCTCACATTTATTAGGAATAGCAGATATTTTACAGCTTCAAAGTAGCGGAAATACTATAAGATTTTAGTTTTTGATTCAAAATCTTGATTAAAATATTGCTGGTTGTTAGCTACTCTTCTGAATTTTGATTATAGGATCAGAAAAATTTAATTGGTTTAAACAATGACAGTGGCTGGTGACAGCCTGGTGTAGTAAGACTGAGTCTGTAAGGCAGTGTGGTCCAGTGTCAGGCTGCTCAGGCTGCCAGGCACAGGCCAGGCTGGACTGCTGGGGCCTGGGCAGCTGGAGTGAATGACTGAATGTGGTAGCAATTAGCAATAACATCATAGTCATTATTAACATGATCAGTCTTCAGTCACATGAGCAAAAATGCATGCCATTCCAGTAGTGCCAAACTTGATTAGTTGATTGATATACCTAATCATAAACTTGAACTTGATGCAACGAAAATGATATAACATTTACCGCCTAATGATCATTAATTTATTAGGTAATATAGTACAGACTAATGATTCATATTTAAACAAAAATTAATTCTCAAAATTGTGCTCATATCAGAACTTTGAAAAACAATATCAAACGTTTCTTTTCTTATACTCGGAGTCTCGGACCTCAGTGAGTGAGTTATACATAACATAGGCACCGAACCTAACTCACCAATGATTTCACATTTACAACTAATTCATTCCCCTCAATCAAATTTAGAGTTTGTATGCAATACAGTAGAAGTAATTTGGGGATATTACGCATAATTATCATTTACTCATTGGCGTTTGGGAAAGCGCAGCCGTAAACAACAGTGAGTCTGGGACAGCAATTAGCGTGATAAACAGAAGGCTAGCGCAGTAGCGCTATACATATATACTGCGATATGCCGATAATTCCGTTTTCCGTAACGCCAGCATCTCATTTTATGCCGCACAGAAAGACTATCCATCAGAAACAACGTCGGACTCGTAGGTGAATTAGTACATACTACATGGTTGAACTATACTAGTTCAACCATGGTACATACTAGTTTAACAAAGCTTGACTTATCTGGCTATTTTAATAATATAACTTAAGATAGTGAAGCCGGCGCTGACGAGTGGGCCTGATGTGGCCTGTCGCCGATTCATGTACTTTTCGTGACTTTATCACAGACGATCTAAAAGCATGTCCTTTGTCGTGATTTTTTCAAGACACGATAGTTTGAAATAGCTACTAGACTTCGACCGGGTTCGATAGGGTGCTAGGCATTTCAAGTCTGAACATGTAAATTTTTCATAGCTTTATCTTTGAAAATATGAAAGTGAAATGCATAGGGAAACATTTCATGAAACTTTGATACCGAGGCAAAAGTGATTAAACTCCTGCGCCTCGTAATAATTTTCGCAAAATGAACCGGGGCAATGGGACGAGTCGAGAAATCTCACGAGAAGTAATAACGAAATGGCAGGAAAAATTATACCGGAATAAAGGTATGAAACTAAAAAATAATAAATAATAGCGATGTCAGCATTGATTAAGCCGTTAGACTTGTCGTTAATTCTCAGCGTCGCAGAATAATCACAGCTTGTTGCGGTCTCGAACACGCAACTCATTGCACCAGTTTTTGCAGTGCTTAACTGACCGGCTCTCTCTCACAGATTTTGACCAAAACTGACGCCATGAGCTGGGATCGAACCCGCAACTATGGGTGAACTAATACAAGATTGACTCACGCGCATCTCAGCCTTGCGCAGGACGTATTTTGTTCCGCATATGACGTCACGTGTGCCTCAAAATTTAAATATTGCTCGTGAACTCAATTCAAAAAGTGTCTTTTTCTAACGATTTTTATACAAAATCTACCTCCTCGAATCCTCTGAAAAAAAAATGTTTACAATGGTAATGTTTCAATAAGTTCCTTAACACATTGTCGGCGTCAAAATGCGATTATTTCGTGCGATTAGCGAAATAAATCGAAAACGAAAAACAACCAAACTATTGGGCTGACTTATAATTTTTTATAATGGCAGCCATTAGACTGAATTTCACAAAAAAATTAAATGCCACCATAACATATCAGGTTCTCGTCAAACGAGCTTTCGTGCATCTCTGCGATGTTTGCCGTTTTTACTCTTAACTCTGATGCTGGTTGAACTCATGGTTGAACTAATACAGACACCTTATAATAATACTAGCGGCTTCAGCGTTTATTAGGCCATTGGCCTGTCGCCGATTCTTAACATCGCAGAACATCCACAGCTTGTTGCGGTCTCGAACTCACAATTCACTGATTCGAATTCTGCTGTGCTTAACCGCCCGGCCTCCTCGCCGATTCTGACCAGAAACTGGCGCACAGAGCTGGGATCGAACCCGCGCCTGGGTCGCCTGCCGAAGACCACCACTCATGGTTGAACTAGTATAAGGTTGACCCATCAGAAGCCCATTTTTGCGGATGTAGCTCGTTGTTCGCCTGTGACGTCACGGGCATTACCCAATCACCGAAATGCGATCAAACCAGTCGACCAATCCGTCATGGGAATGACGGGTTTGTTTACGACCTGACATGACATGATATGACATGACATGACATGACATGACATGACATGACATGACATGACATGACATGACACAACACAACACAACACAACACAACACAACACAACACAACATAACATAACATAACATAACATAACATAACATGACATGACATGACATGACATGACATGACATGACATAACANCCTACACATAACATAACATAACATAACATAACATAACATAACATAACATAACATAACATAACATAACATAACATAACATAACATAACATTAACATAGCGATGTCGGAGCTAAAGAGTAGGCCAGATGTGGCATGTCGCCGATTCTAACTTTTTGTGACTTGTTCACAGATCTAAAATCGTGTCATTTGACCGGATCTTTTCAAGACTGACGATTGTTTGAAATAGCTACTAGCTTCATTTCATGGTTCATAACAACCGCTGGTTAATTAGTCGTAGGTTTCCCTGTTCGTATTTTTCTTAGCTTATATTTAGCGGTACCGGTATACCCGCTATAAATTACTGCTAACTATTTTAGGAAAAAATGAACAAGAGAATGTATAACGAATATTGGTGTCCCTACAAACACGCGCAAAGAAAAGTACAAGAATCGGCGACAGTCCTATTCTTCAATGCCGAAGATATCATACTGTTCTAACGTACTATACTAATAAAAGTGACGCCTAACTTCAGCTGCTCGGCGATCAAATTAACAATTTACATAACATTTTCGGTTTATATGCGTTTTATATGTACGTTTGAATGTAAAGATTTCTCATCGTACATTACTGAAAACTTAAACGGAGCTCATATATTATTTAGTTAATTTTACTGAACCTTACGAGCCACAGCAACGATTTTTAAACTACTCGTACTCCCATGAACCACGACCACGAGCCTTTCCGAGTTATCCGTTGGCAACTTTGATCTTCAACCACACTCCAACTTATCTTCTCACAAGGTTATATAAAGGAATTCACGTTAGTGGCCAGCATTACCGACTACCACCGCAACTTTCATATTTCTGCTCGTTCCCGTGCGCAGGCATGCTACAGCCTACAGCAGTACAGGTAGTGTATTCTGTGAAGCGCTGTGTTCAGAGCAATACGCGCCGTAATCCGAATCAGAAGCCACTTTTGAAGTCAGTGAAGTTTTCACCACAGAATGAACCTACCTCCAAGTTGGCCCCCAGTCAAACAAACTTCACTGAAACTAACCTAATCTTTTTGTCTGCAGCGACGTAGAATCTCGTGGCGCGCGGGGAATGGAGCCGGTCATTGGCCACTGCAATGTGGAGAAGCGTTCATTCAGAATTTCAGATGTAGCCTCCATGAAGACTCCTGACTTTAGGAGTCAGCAGTGGTTGCTGACATATGGCGCTCAAGCTTTAATTAAGCCCTTTCAGAACTATAGTGTCAGTGGCACGAGTGTTTTCTATCGTGTCAACGGCATCGTAGCTCTGACGCCTAGTGTAGCTGTGAATTTTTAGGCCAAGCGATAAGCTACAGGGCAAGTTTAAGAGTTAATTTTGTGGCCAACAGCTGCGCTTTCCCTATTAACTTTATAAAGTTATCGCAAACTAAATCCTGCCATAAATCTTTTGCGGCTGTTCCGCGCAAATGATTGCATATCACGACCAAACTAAAACAATTGAATAAAATATTGACATATATAAATATGAAGCCATAGGAGTCCTGGAGCGAATAACTACACTTTATTTCAAATTTCGCTTCAGCGACCTGTAATGCTAAATTTTGTCAACTGACATACCACACACACGTAAGGTATTTACAATTTTTACACCTTCGAATACGTTTCGTATTTCGTTAGTCAACAATGTCTCGCGGATTCCGGTTTGAGCTGCGGTCGACGACGGACGTGGTGAGCTGCATAGCCAGAATATCTTATTTTGAAAGTCTAGAATCTTGATGCTTACTATTTAGGAATCATTCAACAGAATCATAATTTCAACCTCGACAATGTCGCGCCATAAGCGGCGGAAGGAGAGCAGTGTGTCTTTGTCTTCAAACGAAGGCACCTGATCTTCGTCTTCTCCTTGGCCTGCTCTGGCTGCTCTAAGTGCTCGAGAACCCAGACTGCGCCCTTGGCTCTGCTAGTCTGCTTTAAGTCCCGCAGATTAGAGTGTGCAGCTGCAAGACTCAGAATTGGTCATGCCGGTATCAAGAGCCATCTACCTATATAGATTCAATATGAGCAACACGGATGACGGATCAATGTAGCCTACCAGCCTACCACATGCAATACATTGGATACCGATACAAAAGCGCATATTCTTCTGGATTGTCAATGTCATGTAGCTAGGCCTACTACAAAGACAAGAGCTACAACGTAATTTGAGATGCATTAATTTAGAATTTACTCTATTTAATTTGTTGCAATGTTGGGGAATGGGGGGTCCAGGGGGGAGGTAACCATAATGATGAAGTAGAATTACAACAGAAAATATTTAGATTTTTTACTCTATTCATATTGAACTTTGAAGTCAGGTAGGATAGGCAAGCTGTAGCCTGTAGGTTGCCATGCAACAGCTGTACTGCCTGTACACAAGCTAGTCTGGAAAAGTCCTATTTTTGTCTGAAATATCGCGGTTCTAATATCATATAATTTCAATAGGTATGAAATCTCGCGGCTTAAATGTCATAAATTTTTGTTTGATTTAAAAATCGCGGTTTGCACTTTGCAAACATGTCATTTCATAAAATTTTCAACTTCCGCAATCCGCATTGCTTTACCGTTCCCGCCAAAAATATCTTGCAGAAAAAACATAAACATCGTAATGTAAACAAATCAACAAAACGTTTTGTTGAAGATCGCCCATAGTTGCGGTCATGTCAAAGTGGTCAGACTGCTAGTATGGAATATATCTACTTGGCGACTAGTCTGGAAAAGTCCTATTTTTGTCTGAAATATCGCGGCTCTAATATCATATAATTTCAGTAGGTATGAAATCTCGCGGCTCTAATATCATATAATTTCAGTAGGTATGAAATCTCGCGGCTAGTGCTGAACTTACAGTAGAGACAAATTTTATTGTTGCCGTTTGACTGTTTAAGGGTAAAATTAGAGATTTGGGGTAACACATGCATGGACTTTGTAAATGAATTTGCACCTTGAAAATGGCTTTTCATGGTCGAGATATGGAGCTCATGGCTCGGTGAAATGGAATCACGGCTCATATAAATGGAATCACGGCTGGCAAATCCATAGAACCACGGCTCAAAAAATTCAGTCGCGGCTCGCCAAGTAGATATATTCCATGCCTGTACACAAGCATGCATGGGCAGCATGGCAGCCATGCACAAATTTGATTACTGCTGCCAGCCTGCCACTTATGTTCTATCTACTGTTGTTGTTGGCATATTTATCAAAATCAAGGCTTGTCTTTTAGGTGTTTGAACTTTGAAGTAGGTAGGGACTAGGGACGCTATACCAGCATTCATTTACCTATTATGTTTTGCTTCAAGTGAGCATTTAGTCTTGAGTCCATTTACTAATACTTGTCACCTTTAAAACTCCTCAAATCCTGCACGGAGCTACCGCCCTACTGGAGTACTGATCTCTTTTAAGAGAGCAGTCACAGAGCACTGACTACTCGACTAGTGACTAGCATCCTGTACCAAGAAGCTAAAAACTAAACCCACAACAAGCTCTCAGACCCAACGGTCATCCATCAGGCAGACCTGTGATCTTTATGATTATGTCCACCCAGCATGGACCTCCCTGCAAAGAAGGTCTACGTGCTTGGGGTCGGGGTTCCCATTGAACCACCTTTGCCAATAAGGGAGGAACTGAAAGATCTAATTTGCATCCCTGAGACACCAAGCTTGCCATCAACAGCTGTATCCTCACTTTCCTCAGCAATTCCAGGCTCTCCTTTTGGGAGATTGGCTGCCTCTGGTGCCTGGTGGTAGAACTGGTGCTGGTCTTTCCACTTTCCAGAAAGGGTAACTTTGAAGGTTTTCATCATGGCAAAAATGACTTATGTGAACTCTCCAATGAGCCTCCATGAGCGCAGTAACTTCTGAAGATGAAATCCTGACTCCTGTAGAGTCCTGCTCAAAGGCCTGGCATGCAAAAGAACAAGAGAAAATCCACTGAGCTCTCTGCTCACAAAGCAGTCTGAGGCAGGTAGAAACTCTAGCCTCTGACTCTTCCAGTTCCAGTAAAGTAACTCGTTACTGAACCAGTGGCTGATGATCGCCCAGTTTAGAAATTTTTTGCAGATGCTTTTGGCAATTTTGCAATTTTTGCAAATTTTTGCAGCTTATTCCTGAGTAAGGAATTAGTTGGGTCTCCTTTTGGTAGAGTGAATGAGTGGGAATTGCTAAATTTAGTAAAAATCTAGGATGCAAGATTCTAGTACTTACCTTGAAAGATGAGCCTAAGGTTGAGATGTCTGTTTTGTCAAGCATCACTCAACCCACACTCAGTATTATGTAGGTTTTTGGGGAACCCCTGTCTGCTGTCTCCTCTATAGAGGTAGAGGCTAACATTCCTCCCCTAACCTTTCCATGCAGAGAATTGATGTGTAAATATTTTCTCCATCTGATACAGCTGCCCCAAGGCCACACTCAGGATGATGTATGTTTTCATTGAATTTTCTCGCGCATTATGACTTTTTAAAGCCATTGCTGCGCACAGTTAGCACAACTTCTGGCCATCCCCGCTTGCATGTGCAAGCGTCAACGCAGCACGCAGATACTTGTCCCGTGTCAAGGGACAAGAGACAGAAAACTAATAATACTCAATACGCATTTAATTATCCATCAATAATCTATGATTTTCCTTGACATGGAAATTTTGTGAAAGTAAAAATCTAGAAATTTATTTTAGAAAAATTTTCTACAAATTTCTTATACGAACATCTTTGTTTACCTTTCATAGACTGTCTGGAGTCTGGACGTGATGCAATATTCTGTCCGGACGTGAGGCAGGTGGTGAATAACCATCATCAGAAATTGGGCATATGAATTAAACAAATATTAGTGTTAAATGATAGATTTTGCTTGTTCTATATACAAGTCAGAAATAATTTTGTCATTCTAATTAATGGAAAATAGTTTAGAGTGCAAAATCTTTTGTAAATAAAATATGTCTAGACATAATTGTCATCAGAAATTCCCAACGTAATGGTATGGCAACATCGTCTTTACAAACTTTTACGCCAATGCTGATACATCATCATGTGTCATGTGATGAGTCTCTTGAAGCTATTAATATTTTATTAATGTTTGTTGTTCGTCTGTATAATTAACCTTCAAAGTTGCAAAAAATGAGAACTGATAATTAGAAAAATTGCAGTGCCTGTATTTTTGTATTCAATGGGTTTGCACCGCATGAACCCATTTCACCAACCGGGAGGATGTTGCAAGCGTAACGTATTCCCAACATTGACATTCGGGTTTGTACTATTGGCCAAAATCAGTCCTTCATTAGAAGGCAGCAATCTCAAGCCATGTGGATTGTCGCCTTCTACTGTTCAGTTTTGTAATTGATTTTCATCCAAACTGCGTTCTATGAATAATAAATAAATATTCATAACTGTGCCAACTCTCAAAATCTAGTCAACTTGGTGCAGATATTAGTTTGTGTGTGATAGCATTGCCGCCCATTCATCTTTGAAAAACTTTGGGAGTACGGCGCATGGTGTACTTTTTTACCGGCATATTACGGCACACAGCACAAATTGATAAAATGATAATAAAAATTCCCGCGCACCTGGAACATCTTCCTGACTGTGGCCCCAAGGTCCTATTGTGTCTGAGCTGTTCAGCCCAAATGTGCCACAGGGAACCAACTGCCAACTGCCGTGTTTCGTGGCACTGCCGCATTTTGCGGCTCTTCCGTGTTTTGTGGCTCTGCCGTGTTTTGCGGCACTGCCGTGTTTTGCGGCTCTGCCGTGTTTCGCAGCTCTGCAGTGTTTTGCGGCTCTACCGTGTTTCGCTGCTCTGCCGTGTTTTGTGGCTCTGCCATGTTTCGCGGCTCTGCCATGTTTCACGGCTCTGCCGTGTTTTGTGGCACTGTCACGTTTCGCGGCCCTGCCATGTTCCACAGCCCTATCGTGTTCCATGGCTCTGTCATGTTCCATGGCTCTGCTGTGGAGTGTTCCTTCAACAGGTGCTAGGGAGAGTTTGAGTTAGGCAGGGTTGTGTAATGATTGATGATAAAGTGATTAATAATGATAAAGTGCCAATTAAAAAGGCACTCTGAAACTATAACTAGAAACTTGGTCATAGGGCTGCATTGGACTAGTCTTCAGAGGCTCCCACAAATCTGAAAAATATGTTGCACTCTCAGTTTCAGACTCTCAGTGAGAGAGTAGCAATGGCATCGTTTGGTGTGAGATGTTCTTCAAATATATAGTTGGATATTGGGAGAATGGGAGTTGGGAAAAAGTAGCTACTGAGGAAAATGGTTTTCAGGTTCTGTATTTTTTTTTAATATTGCATTATTGATAAGAAGTGTAACAATTTAAGTGACTTCTTGCTAATGAGTGAACAAACTACAAAATAAAGACCCAATTAAGGCTTTGACTTTGAGCAATATCATCATTGAATATGAAATTGTCAATTGTGAAGGGACTTTCTTTCTACAGTGTGATAACTCAGATTATTTATTTGGAGTCAGATACTCTCTAACTAACATGTTGAGCATGTCCATGGCATATGTACCATAATGTAGTAGGTATGTACTAATACTGTCCATCATAGTGTCTATAAGAGATAAAAAAAACTCATTTTATTTTCTCTGATCTAGTTCAAATTTTATTTGAGAATTTTTTTAGGTAAAAGGTTTCTCTATAAATATTATTTGCAGAATATGTAATTCTGTTTTGGCAATTTCGTGATAGATATAATTATATATTTACCCTCCCATGATTCCATTTTAAGTTGTAACTTCTTTAAAATAATAATGTTGCCAAGATTGCGATTTATTGCCTAAAGTGTTGCCAGTATTATTGAGGATTTGTTGCTAGAACTTCCTTAATGTTCAAGATTTCTTGCAAGAAATGTATAAGCAATGGCAATAAAGAAGAAATGTGCTGCAAGATTTAAAAAAAAAATCGATTTTGATGCTGATGTGTTGCCATAGATCTTGAAATTTTCCCCCACTCAATGCACCCTGACTATTGATCACTGATAGTTGAACTAACCTTGCTTTACTAAACTATTCTTTTGCAGAGACATGCAATTCATGCTATTGTTCAGCCGTCAAGGCAAATTAAGGTTGCAGAAGTGGTATGTGGCTCATCCAGACAAGGCCAAAAAGAAAATAACAAGAGAGCTCATCACAACAATTCTGGCTCGTAAACCTAAAATGTCTTCTTTTCTTGAGTGGAGAGATCTCAAGATTGTGTACAAGAGGTATGCACAGTTTAATTTTGTAGTTAATTATTTTTCCTTAGTTTTGACAAAGCTTGTACATGAAATAATACTTTTTGATCAATGAAGTCATATATAGTTAAAAGCCATCATTACATGTCATTTGATTCATTGGTGAAAAGATTCAAACCATTATATATGTAATTGGTGTCCCCCAAATCAGTCTTTGTTAAATGGTTTCTCGAATAGAGCAAGATATAATTGGCTGAATACTGGATATAATTTTAAGATCTATGTATATCCTAGGGTGGGATTGATCTTTCATTGTTGTTTTTTCAAAATTAATAATATGTTAGGTAAGATAATTTCTGTTCATGCAAGTAACATTATTCTACAAAAAATTATTTGCTGATGTACCTATGTAATCAAAAGCAACTATTCTTGCATTTAAGAATTTCTGCAATTCATGCTATGAGAATGATAAAAAAAATTTCATGTTTTTTCCAGGCATTAATATAAAACTTTGTGGAATTATTATGGCCTTTAAAATGTCAACAGATATGGTATCATTAGCTTGTAGAACTGCCATGAATATGTGTTCTACAATTGGTATTATGGATGTTAATTTTATTTCCAGGTATGCATCTCTTTACTTCTGCTGTGCCATTGACCAGGAAGACAATGAACTGCTCACTCTAGAGGTCATCCATCGATATGTTGAGCTCCTTGACAAGTATTTTGGAAGTGTGAGTATTAATTTGTTCTTATGCTAGCAAGGATTTTCAACAATATAAATTGGAATTTGTTATGAAATTATTAAATTTATAGTTGCACTAAATATTATAGGTTCTTACTATGATATTATACTTGAAGTTTCTTTGATGAGGGTTATAGAAACTATAGGCATCAATAAATTTGTGTCATATATTGTATGCCATCTTATATTCAAATAATAAATATTTATTCTGAAGTATTAAGTCAATAATCCATGTTAACATTTGAAAATTGAACACTCGGTTCAAAATTATGCCCATAACCTCATAGAAGTTGTATAGTGAATTGTATAAAATTATTTATTTGAGCTACCCTGCTGTGCAACTAGTTTCATTCCTTCATATATATACAAGCCTTACAGTTTTATAATTTCTTTGTATAAATATTTGAGTTTTAACACCTTGAAGGCAATTTCTGGAACTGCCAACTGCCTTCTGCTGCAATTATGTTATGGTTCCAAACTTCCAATTGAACCTCCCAATTTAAAGTTATAAATATGCTTTTTCTGGTATTCAAATAATGTAGTTGAACACATTTTCCTTTAATTTATATTATATTTTATAATGAACACAGTGTGCTTGAATGGCAGTGATACCAACTTTTTGGGTTCTTTTAAACATTCTGTACCATTTTTAAAAATGACCTGCCTGTGGGTCGTTGTGCAGCTGATGGAAACCAGGAACAACATAGGGTTGGTCGTATCACACTCAACGTGTTGATGTTGAGAGACAGAGAGAGGGATTCATCAGCGACTCAATTGAGCTGATGAATCATATCATTGGAAAATGTATTTTCAAGCAATGAATTATATTACTGAAAATATATTTTATTAATTTTTATGTAGGAAGAAATCAAGTTGATTCTCAGAAAGCTATTTAATATAGGACAATATTTGAACATTTCTGTAGTATTTGGTAATATCTTCTTGTTAGGATATTAGATGAACAGATTCATGTTATTTATCACTGGATAATGGGATTTGAGGTAATATTATGTTAATGCAATGTTTTGTCAACTTAAAGGAAGTGATTTATGTAGATCCTTGCATTAAAAGTTCATTGTATAAGCTTGGCAAAATACTTTTTTGATCAGGTGTGTGAACTTGACATCATCTTCAACTTTGAGAAGGCATACTTCATGCTGGATGAGCTGGTGGTTGGGGGTGAGGTATGCGAAACCAGCAAAAAAAATGTCCTCAAAGCCATCGCGGCCCAAGATCTTCTTCAGGAGGTGAGTGTGCTCACTTTCTCCATTTTTTAATTTGCCATCTTTTTCTACAATTTATTTTGATACAGTTTTTGTTTTTCCTACCTTTTAATTTCTGCTTCATTATTTGTCAAAGTACCTGCTTTTATTCATACTTCTATTTGTTTCAACCTTGCTTCTTTATTTATTATATGCTTTACTTCTTATCATAGTGATTAATGCATCTACTTTATGTGCATTTTGTTCCAGCAATTGTTTGTGCTGCTTCTCATAGTCATGTGTGTTCTTATTACTGTGTATTTTGGATCCCTGATCAGTGTTAGCTTTAAATTTATGTTCACTGTGAAATCCCTAATTACTGTGCATTTTTGCTCCTGGTTACTGTGTGTCCCAAATTAACATGTACTGTGGATTACATTGCTCCATTTATTGCCATACACTGAGCGTTGATTACAACTGTGTGTTGGGCACTTGTGATTGATGTGCCAAAGGCTGTGCATTTTTGACTGTGTATGTTTGTGAATGCTGGCATGTGCATTATGTGAATATTATTGCATTTAGCCTTGCATGTGGTACAAATTAAATGTATATGCAGCATAAGCTTAGGAAGTTGAGTGTCTTGGTGTATAGCAGTGTTCGCCATATGTTGTAGGCCTGGCTCTCCACAAGACATTTTGTGAGTTGAAGTAACTCTTTCAGTGGCCTATATGTTCCTTTGTATAGCTATAAGACTGGTGCTTCTTGTATTGTTGTCTTGTATACTTTGTTTGCCCAATTTGTGTAAATCCATTACTGTGGCTTTTGTACTAATGACTAAAATCGCAATGTTGTTTGTTTTTTCATTATTTTTACAAGTCTAAAAATCAGCATTATCTGTATAAAGATATTTCTGTAAATCTAAGATTTTGCTTGTTTGTGATAGGAAAGTATTATAACAACTATATTTCCTTCTTTGCAATGCTGCTGTTTTGACCTATGGTACAAAATTGTTATCTTGCTGATTATTGTTGTTATCCTGCTCAAGTATAATGAATGTGTACAGTAGATAAACTCAATCATTATCTCAATATCTTGCTCAATTATAACGAAAAGAATGAGATGCCTGATTGACACCAGACATTGTCAAAATGTTGTCCGCTGTTATTCTAAATGAACGATGTGCGTTTAAAATTTGAATTGAGTTGTTTGTAGTGACTTGCTATATGCAAATAAAATGTATGCAACATGTTTGTTGCTGCCTCAAGTCAATCTACTTGTCTATTTGAAGAGGACTTTTCTGGAGTGGCAATTGTGCTTTCATGGTACAAAAGTAAATATTATTCCAATATTATCAAGGCATTAAATTGTAACTATGAAGAATCATTATCAATTAAAATGCCTTCATTAAGGCACTTGTTTTCAATGATATCAAGGCTCTCATTATTCACAGCAACCACTTGTGAGGATCTATTTTGGCAAGAGCACCTTGACAAATGTAGCTATCACTTGGGATATTTTGAAACTTACCATCCTGCTGCTGTAATTGTCATAAAGGAAAGCATAAAACACTATTTTGATGCATGAAATTTATATATTAACAGTCACTTTTATATATTAACAATATTAAATTTTATATATAACAGTCTTTAACTACACACCATTAACATTGTTTATTGGAGTTTGTACAACAACGAAGCTAATCTCATTATTTGCCAAAGTGTATGAGAACTTGTTAGTTATTGCCATAGTTGCAATGATAACTAAGCTATTGGTATCATTGGCTGGAGTCTGTGGCAGCAGTTATTGCCATCATTGGCTGGAGTCTGTGTGGCAGCAGTTATTGCCATCATTGGCTGGAGTCTGTGTGGCAGCAGTTATTGCCATCATTCGCTGGAGTCTGTGTGGCAGCAGTTATTGCCATCATTGGCTGGAGTCTGTGTGGCAGCAGTTATTGCCATCACTGGTCATAGTCTGTGTGGCAGCAGTTATTGCCATCATTGGTCAGAGTCTGTGTGGCAGCAGTTATTGCCATCATTGGTCAGAGTCTGTGTGGCAGCAGTTATTGCCATCATTGGCTAGATTGAATCTGTGTGTCAACTGCCATCATCACCTGTGGCAACAAGCTTGTCCTCTGAGAGTTACAATTGTTCAACTTATTACATATTCTGTAGCTTGGCTGAAATAATATTTTGTGCCACCATTTTGTTATTTCATTATTAGTTTAGCTGTTGTCTGTATTATTTTCTGTTGGTATTTGACCTCCTGATGCTTTAAAAGAATGACTTTATCTTAGGTCATGTCTGTAGTACTTTATTAAAGTTAGTTTATATTTGTATTGCTTGATTGAGTTGAGAAAAGCTGGCTATTATGCTGCATGTTACAGGGAGAGCTCACGAGCTCCTGCTTTCCTCTGCTGGAGTTGCCTTCTCTAGGTTTGTAAATGTTTTTACATAACATCAATTTTTCCCAGTCTTGACCTTTTCCTTTAACATGCTACAAATTAATAGAATAAAAATGTTGGCACTGAAGAAATAGGCCCATGGCCTGTTGCCGATTCTTGAATTTTTCGTGACTTGATTCACAATGGATCCGGCCTTTGGAACCCGATCTTTCCATAACTGACGATTGATTGAGATAGCAGCTGGACTTATTGCCTGGTCCGTAATTTGCTTGTCCTGTAGCTTGTTCCTCCCTGATTTTGAAAAATGTTGTTTTTGGCTTGGAAATTACAAGAAGTGAAAAATTTAACCCTCTTTATACATACCATGACCATATGTATGTATAAATATTTTATCTCCTAGCAATTAAAACAGTGAACTGCAATTTCCTGTTGACTTTGATTTTTGTGCATTGGAACTTGTAGGTATATTATTCTATTATTTGTAATCATTTGATTCTGTATAATATGTGTGGCATGTTATCTGATCTTTATTTAATCTACATGATGCAATAATCAATAATTATTCAATAATCTTTAATGCATTTATGGAGACTTGAAAAGGTAGCAAATCAGTTTCTGCTTTGATTTCCCTTTCACAAAAATCCAGCTCTCCCTTGCACTAAACTTGAATCTTTGCTGATCACATACAAGGAGAAATTACATCTAATTGTAATCTGGAATTTTCCTTTGATTAATATCCAGTATATTTTTCACTTATTATATAGTTTTCCTCATTACTTGCAAATTTGATTTCTAATGCCAAGTTTCTTGTTGTATTTTCAATGATGCCCTGCTACTTGTTTTGCTTAATCCTCCAATTTACATTAACGATAGGCTCAAAAAATTATTGCCGTGAACATTTTATGTCTCTACCAACCAGCTGCTACATGTTGATTAAAGTTGAAACTTTTGTGTTTAAATGTTGATCTGCTCTCATTTTTTTGTATTTAAAATGTATTGAGTAATTGTATATAATTATTAAGATACATTATGGTAGTTTCCAGACTAGTAGTAACTAGTCTAGTGTAGTAACTAGACTTTATATCAGTATGGCCTTTTGCTATCACCATGCAAAATTAAGTAATTGATTCATGTTAATACAAGTAGAATTAACATGAGAAAAGCTTGTACAGTAATATAAGGTTCAGAAATTAGTGTCATTTGTGTTAATCAAACTGAACCCCAGGCCAATGAGACATCAATACTTTGTGCCACGAGGACATTTATGAGCGATCATTTAATACAAGCTATTCACAAAGCAGTGTGTGGCATTCAAAGTGTGGACTGTGTCAGAACTTAATTTGAAAACATTATTTTGAGTGAGCAGTGTTTCTGTGTCCACTGGAAATGTGTGGCAAAATCAGAGTGCAGATATGCACCCAACTCTAGCTGTCACCCTAAGTTAGAGTGAAAACTGTGTTCTACTAACTATCAAGGCCCCTCAATGTATTGCATTTAAAAGTGCAAACTTTCATTATTATATATTATACACAACAATTCAAATGGAAACTGCTGCCTTATTATCTGTGTTCTTCCTCTTCCAAGCAAACAAAGACTATGAGTGTATGTGTCTCCCTATTCTTATTCTTTGTACTTTCTCCTCACTTGCTAGTGTGATATCTTTATGCTTTCCTGATATCTTCATCATTTGCATTGGAACAGTGCTGCTAAGTGCTCTCAAATATTATTATTCTTCACTATTTTTATTTGAACAATGCTGCTAAGTGCTGTCAGCATTTTTCTGCACTTCATTATTTGCATTTGAACAATGCTAATTAGTACATTTGGTAATATTTAATAAAATTGCAAAAAGTGAAGCACCAAACTACTCTTTTTTACTAAATTATTTTAATTGTGCATGTCTACAAATTCTTCCTTTAGTGGCAGTTGGATGCAAATGCTTTAGCATCACATGAAGACTGGACTAGTACATGTACTTCATTATTTATTAGTTTTACCAAACAAATTTTCACAATAAATTTGTGTTTTGTATTTATTTCTTCTTAAGATTTTGCATCATGTATTATTGTTATGCATTATACTTGATGCCTTGAAAATTTCTGCATGCTTTATCCATCACTTAATTTTGATGCATCTTGTCTTTTTTTATTTTACAGCTGACATGTTGTGTGATGAATGCTTGTATTGACGTATTCCTTCACTGCAAGTGCATTGTTTACTGCAGTTTATTCCTTATTGAAAAAATCACATTCAATGTCATTTTATGTACAGTTCTGCCCTATGATGCCCAGTGAATGCTTCTGAGGGCTGTCTCTATGTGCAGAACACAAATGTGTTCTTGTATGCTCATGTATTTTGCCTTGAAGTTTATGAATAAATTAATGTGTTTTCATATGTTTAAGGCTCATCCTTGCATGCGGGATGGATATTATTAATGTTTAGAAGTGAAACAGTTGTATTTATATTAAATACAATTACATTTTAGATGTGGTTGGCAATGACTTGTCTAAAGACCTTCTATTCAACTCAAATTTTAAATAATCATGTTAAAATAGTGTCCTCGGTTTCAAGTTTTTGGTACCTTCCTGCAATATTAAATAAAATTATTGAGGTTTCGATTTGCACTTATTACACTAATTGTGAA